CATGCATTTTTTAAAAAGTTATAGCAACATAATGTTAAAAAATGTAAAATATAATATCAAGAATTTTTTCACAAAAATAGCATATTTTTGCATACGGTAGTCATTTTCACCATGAAGACAAGTCCAGAGGTCAAATTTTTTTTTTTCAAATTAAAGTATATTACATTAGCTTTAATTTAAGGTATATATAAAATTGTCAGTCTTTCCGGAACATTTTCAAAAGTTAAGTTGAAAAAGTTAATTTTTTGTAAAAAAGTTACCATTTTGAAACCCCATCCTTTGGGCTGTTAAAGGGTCAAATGTTCACAAAAATATATAAAATGATAGGTAATTATCTAAGGTATCTATAAAAAAAAAAATTATATTGATTCGGTCATTTTTAAAAAAGTTATGGCAATTTTAAGTAAAAAAAATTGAAAAAATATCGAAAATTAGCGATTTTTAAATTTGTAATTTTTTGGGGGATTTCCCCCGTTTACGGGGAACGAGGGAATTTTTTTCAATTTTTGAGGGTAATGTCTTCGACTAGATACGATTTGTGATCTTTTGACATATTGTTCATCAAAATCGGTCCAGCGAGAGCTGAGATTGAGCGTTCACAGACACAAAAAAAAAAAAAAAATAAATAAAAAAAAAAACACATCATAGTAAAATTAATACCTTCTCAGCTTCGCATCGAAGCTAAAATATATAGTTTTTATTTTCACAAAATTTCTTAACATTTTAAATATTGAAGCCATAAACCCAATAGGAGATTTATGTGGTCTAAACCCATTCTAAAATCAAACCAAACAATTCTTGTACAACAGAGCTCAGCAGTTGTAATAAACATACTAAAATATTGTAGTACTGAAATAATTATTATATGCCTTTTATATAAAATCCTATACACTATACTATCTTGAAATTAATCTAATGTTACATTTTTTTTTCAATAAATACATCAAACCATAATACTTCTCTAATATCGATAAAAATGACAAATTTTAGGGTAAATGAACTTTAATATTCGCATGTATTTCATCACATTTTCAACTTAGTATCTAAAGTACTTGGTGTTATTTTGTATATCTGTTCTTAAGCCTGTTTCGTTCAAAATAATTAAAATGGTTATTAATAGTACAACTTATAATCGAAAAAATTGACGCTTTAACATAATATGTTAAATGTTTATATAATGTATAGTTTAACACTTCTTTATTTTGCGTAGGAAAAATTCAGTATGGTTCATTTCCCGTATAGTTTAAAACTATTATGGGCGTCTCTAGTCGACGCCATGTTTATTCGAAGAATTGGAAAAAGAAAAACTTGGTTAGTGCCTGTTCAGTGTTTAATCGGTAAAGTTTCCTTGCTAATATGTATTAGCAATACAACAAAAAGTTTATTTTTTGTGTACGCTATTTTCCAGGGCTATCGTAGTTGTTTTTGGGAATTAATATTAAACAGTGCCTATTACATAAGGATCACTGTAGTATGACATTCTTGACGTCAGCTATGTTTTTTGTTAATAGTTGAGACTACACAGGGCATTGTAATTGATGAATGTGCTCTAACCATATTAAAAAAGTTAGCATACTACTATAATAATCATAATTTTATGGTTATTATTATTTCAAAATAACATTTTATGTTAAAAAAAAAAATGTTATAACTTTTGTTGGGAAAATAGAAGTTATATATTCATATGTAGTATAACTGACCAAAATTTAAGTGGCGTACATTAGATTATTTAAAATCTGCTAATTTTAAGTATACCTCAAGAAAGCGGCATTTTAACTATAGATAGTAAAAAAAAAACTCAGATTTTGATTTACAGAGAGATCGGTTTATCATGAACCTCTCGATTACTCGCAAAGTAAATACAATATTGGAAAAAAAAATTTATGTTTTTTTTTATTACATATATTTCTTGATTTATCAGCTAATAATTACTTTTTAGAATCATCCTTTATGACTTAAGGAGGTGTCAATTTTATTTTTTAAATAAAAATATACATATTTAACTAACTTATAAAATAGGAAATAATCTAATTAAGAAAATGTCTGAACGATAACAACTTTTGAAACAGTATTTCCAAAGTTATTACCAATTTAAAGTAATGATTCACTAGTATCACTAGTCAATAAATACTAAAAATACTAGTCTAAAGATTGTTATTTGCTAGTCATGTAAATATTTAGATCATTTTCTATTTTAAAAAAAGTAAATATGTAAGTCTTTAAGTTACAAGGGATAATTCTAAAAAGTGATTATTAGCTGATAAATCAAGAAATATATTTAACTCAAAAAAAAAAAGTTTGTTTTCCAATATTATATTATTTTGCGAGTAAACAAGTGATTTATGATAAACCGATCACTTTGTATAAAGACAGAGTCATTCATTAAAAATAATAGACTCATTTTCTTGGAAACTTAAAAAATTTTAATTTTTTTGAAAGAAAATATTGTTTAATTAACTTAACAATAATATAAAGTTAAATAATTTGTTTTCATTCCTTTGGGGATAAAACGCCTTAGCATTAATTTTCTTAAATGAGAACCCTTATATTTATATTAATAATATGATAGAAAAAAATATATAAGCAATTTAATTCTAATAATTTTTGTTGATCCGATTAACCGTTCTGCTGTTTCAGTTGATGTTAGTGCTTTTAGACAAAATTTCTATTATTATTTTACTGTTTTGTATACACAAGTCATGGATCATAAACATAATTTATGATACATTGAAACATACAATTATAGCCTCTATTATTACGAAAACTAAATTAGTGATAAATTTATATTTTGAATCCAAATATTTGAACAATTTAAAAAATTAATGGTTGATCGGATTTAAAAAAGTTATAAAAACAAAATTGTAAATTTTTTTCTATCTATTATCAAGATAAAAATAGGAGTTCATCGCTGAAGGGATAAAAAAATTAATTATTTTACTACATATTATTGTAGAGTTTTTTAAATAAAATGATATTTTTATTTACAAAAATTAATGTTTTTAATAGTTTCCAAAAAATCAATGTTTTATACTGAAGTATAATGGGATATTTTAAAAAAATATATTATCGGTTGTTCATACGCACTTGGATAAAAATTACTGCAAAGAAACCCAGTATGACTCACCTGTCGCGGCACAGTGGTGACGTGGTATAGTTGAATCAAGTATAATGATATCTGACAGTGATTAAAATCACTATCATAAAAAACGCTTCGATGCAAATCTTTAGATTGTGTTTAATTTTAAAAAAATTGGTGGATTATTACAAAAGCTACATGATCTGCTATTTTCTTATTTATATCCTGATTAAGATAAAGTATGGCGAATCAAAGAGGGATATAAATATTATTTCTCATAAAAAAATTGTATTGATCCATACACTTTTTAATAAATAATAGCATTATAAAGTTATAAATGTAAAAAATGAAATCGAGAATTTTCACATATATATAGCATTTGATGGCCATTTTCACCTTGAAGACAAAATAAAGTCCGAAATTTTTTCTTCCATAATAAAGTACATTAGATTACCTTTAATTTAAGATATATATAAAAGTGTCAGACTTTCCGGAACACTTTCAAGGACATTAAGCATCTATCAAAAAAAAATTATATTGATTGATCATTTTTAAAAAAGTTATGGCAGTTTTAAGTAAAAAAACTGAAAAAATTTCGAAAATAACAATTTTTAAATTTGTAATTTTTTTGGAGGTTTCCCTCATTTACAGGGAACAAGGGAAATTTTTTCCATTTTATAATGGTAATATCTTTGACTAGATACAATTTGTGATCTTTTGACGTATTGTTGAAAGAAATCGGTCAGTGAGAGCTGAGAAAAAGTGGTAACAGACACAAAAAAAAAATAAAAATAAAACACATAGTAAAATTAATACCTTCTCAGCTTCGCATCGAAGCTAAAATTGTTATTGTAAATAATTTTATTTCTGAACTTTTTGGTTTCTGAAATCTATTTATTTTAAGATTAGTGTTATGCAAGACCTAAATATTTAAAAAAATACAAACTAACAATATTTTCTAGGTTTTCAGATGAAGTGTCATTAGTTCAATTTGANTCTAGGTTTTCAGATGAAGTGTCATTAGTTCAATTTAAATTTTTTTAAAAATGGTAGATTATAACAAAAGCTACCTGATCTGTTAATTCCTTATTAATATCCTGATAAAGATAAAGTATGTCGAATGAAAAAGGAATTATTAAAAAATATTATTTCTCATAAAAAAATAATGTTGATCCATACACTTTTCAATAAGTTATAGCTTTATAAAATTAAAAATTTTAAAAATAAAATCGAGAATTTTCACACAATAATAGCATTTGGTAGCCATTTTCACCGTGAAGACAAAATAAAGTCTGAAACTTTTTTTTTTTGCATAATAAAGTACATTACATTAGCTTTAATTTAAGATATATATAAAAGTGTCAGACTTTTCGGAACATTTTCAAAAGTCAAGTTGAAAATGTTAATTTTTTTTGAAAAAATTGTCATTTTAAATTTTTGATGGTAATGTCTTCGACTAGATACGATTTGTGATCTTTTGACGTATTGTTGAAAGAAATCGGTCAGTGAGAGCTGAGAAAAAGTGGTAACAGACACAAAAAAAAATAAAAATAAAACACATCATAGTAAAATTAATACCTTCTCAGCTTCGCATCGAAGCTAAAAAAAAAACGTAAAAATAATTATAACTTGCATTTTTTTTTATTTAAAGAAACTGTATTATATAATCATAATAGAACTTAATTTATTTACAGCATTACTAACTGTCTGTGGTATAATGTTTGTAATATGATCGTATGTATCGCTTTGTTCAAACATGAAATAAATGCAAAAGACGAATGAATAAACATAAGATTACTTATCACTTAATTAATATTTCTTCAGAAATTTAATAAATAATATATTTTTTATACATATATTCAGGTTATTTACAAGAAACAAAAATTATCGCTTTTTTGTTTTACATTATAATCTTTTCTACTATTTATATTATTCAGTTATTTATTTTTATTAACCTTTGTGTAATATATACTTAAAATCTTTAAGTAACTTACTAAAATTATCTCGTCTTTTGTGAAGATGATATAACTTATACTACTGGACGCAATGGAATCATATTCTGATACTTACGTACATAGTCACAATACATTCCAACCACAATAACTGCTAAAAATAATGTATACATTAAAAAAATCCTGGAAAAAATCAATGGAAATTTTTATTTCCAATAATAATAATACAACAAGATTTGTTAACAATTATAGTGAAATTAAAGCATAATTTTTTTGAACTATTAGACCTTACTGTATTTGTTGAGTGGCAAGTGTCAATTTAATTAAATATTCTTTATTAAAAATAAATTTTGACAAAGTTATGAGTCGGTAACGTTATACTTAAAGCAATTAGTTAAAAGGTCAATAATAGCTATTAAATTAAAATGTAGTAAAGTACTTATTTAAAACTATTGTTTTTTTATTAAGTAAATAAATAAATGTTAATAAGTTGGAATGTACATTCAAATAAATTATACAGTTCAAAAGCGTAAAACTTTTAAAAGGTTTGAAGTACTATAAATTTAAAAGTACATTTCGAGAAATGGAAAAAAATTCCATTACCTGAGCTTTACTTAGTCAAATACTTTCTGCATTTATCGATTGATTCCATTCTTTAATTTAATAATTTCTCACATTTTTTAAATTCAGTATAAATTTTAATTAAATTTTCTAAAAAAGTTTATGTAAATTAGAAAACAAATACCATCAGCATTTGAACCAAACTATAAATTTTAAATTTTGAATGCGATTTTTTTTGGTTATAGTCATGTAGTACTTTAGAGGCAAACTTAAATTATATACTCGATAGTAATTACTATATAATACACTTTTAAACTATAACGTATCAGTTGCGAAGATATCAGCTATGTTTCAACTATAAAATAATGTTTTATCAATCATAGAAACGCATGTATATCTATAGGTCAGTTATGGTAAAATTATTTATGTACTTAATTAATCGACTGGTCATTTTTGTCTATTACTGTGGCATAAAAAATATAAATTTTAAAATAATAATAAATACAATTAGGCCAAAAAAGAAATAAATATATACTTATAAAAAACATCTACATGTTTACAATAATATTTTTATCTTCAGTTAATGAAAATATTATTTCCAAATATGAATGCACTATTTCATAAAAAATTTTCGTTACCTTTAGAATAAGTAATTTTTTATATTTATTTTTATTAATATATTTATAGATTGAAATATTAAAATCGTTCCTTTGATAACTTATTTTTATATTTGTCATAATTTACTCAATTTATTCTTTTATTTTTAATTTTTCTCAAACGTAATAAGAATTATTGTAAAACTATTTGCTTTGTCATCGCTGCTCATTATCATCTTACTTGAATTAAATAAATACACCAAAATATAAGAATAATCATATATATAATTTAAACAAAGTTTATAAACAATTATCATAATTAAACATGTTTATTAAATATTTGTAACATAAAAGAAAATTTAGTTTTTACTTAATCTTACTTATCAAATTAATATGAATAAAGAAATAATTTGGTACACATATATCTGTAAATAAATAATTTTTACAGTAGACCCGTAGTAAATTTTTTTTTTTATAAAACACATGTATGAAAAACGTTTCATTATATATATTATTTATAACCTTGACATCAAATGTCCTTAAAAATGATTTTAATGTAACCAACAAAGATTTATTTAATAATTCATTCGTAAATTAAATATTTTGTAAATAAAAATACTTTAAATTAAGTTTCCAAATATTGAAAATGCAATTTCGAATAATTTTATAACAACTAAACATGTTTGATGGTACAAAAATATTTTTCATGGCATTATTTCTATACTTACGTTTCAATTTCAAAACAACTGAACGTATCAATACATTTTTTTCAAAATATAACTGTCCATATTTATAAGAGCCACATTTTGTTCCGTCTAATACACGAATTTTTACACTTTGTGGACACATCACTTCAGATTTATCAAAGTACCGTTTCTTCCCACTGACAAACAAACAAATACGTTCCGCTACAACGTTAAAAGATTTTGACTGCATTTTCAAAGGTTGCTTTTTTATAATACATTTCTTTTGTGGCCTAAAATGATCTAAAGAGTCTATTTTAAGTCTATCATGTTCAATTAGATTTGCCAGGTCTCTTGGTAATGTAATCATTACTCTTTTTACGGTAGCGTCTAATTTTATTTCGGAATTCCATATAACCATATTGTATGTTTGTTCCAATGTTTCCATTGGTACTTCTACAGCAATTCTATCGTCAATTCCTGTTTTCGTTGATGTTCCATGTTTATCATTAAGATCAATTTCAGTCATCATGCGTAGATTGTATGAGTTTATATTGTCGAACGATTCACTTACAGACCGTTCATACTTTGCAATAAGGTATTGATAGAGTTTATACAAAACGACTAGAAATATGCAAAATGAATAACAAGTTAGAATGCACAGCTCAATTAGAGTTATTAAAAAATCTTTCCAGTTTTTGATCATTTTTTCAAATTATAAACACTGTCGAGATGATAAATTTTGATGTGAAGTATATAAGTTTTATATAGTAATCGTAAAACTTGAATAACATGTATAATAAAACACGACTAATTATCGGCTGAAAGCTATGGAAACCAATTTTAGTATTGTTAAAAAAAATTATTTACTGTTATTTTAATCTTAGAAAATAGTAAAACTAATTAGAAACTATAGAAATAATAGAAACTAATTTATTTGTATTAATATATTTATATATACTGAACATCGATACCCTTGATTTTTTTTTTATTTTAGGATGACTTAACAATTAATGAAAATTTAGGTTATTTGATATTTTAGTTCTTTATTAATTTAAATTATTATGTCAGACTAATAAATTGAATAAATATTTGTTCTCTGGAATAATCTCTATAACAGTAATGTACAAATATTTATTTTTAATTTAACGATAAAATTTTAACTCATTATCAAATGTTTAAAACTGGAACTTTTCAGAAATGAACAGTTAAGGATAATGTAAATAAATTATGATATTTCAGTACAGCTTAATTTAGGTACTTTCATTATTATAAAAACCTTCAACTATAATTTGTTACAAACCGTTTAAACTATGTTTTATTAAAGTCAGTAGTATTCGTTCACAGATGATGTTCATTCATAATGATGTAACATTATATGAACTTTAAGAATACTTATTAATCCATAAGTCATA